AGCCGCGAGTTGCCGTTAATTGTTTCCGTTAGAAAACTGCCCCCAGACGCGGGAAATTTGAAAAAGCGCGTTCCTAACAACACAAATTGCGCAGTAAGGAGTGTATTTCAGACTTTTTTAATGCGACCATCGTAATTTTCGTGTCATTTAACCTCTTAAAAGTCTATTCGCACGGCTGTATCTCTTGCTTGCAACAGGCCCATTATAAGGTGCATTTAGATTACCGGTTTTAACTGGAGTGACCATGTGGAGTAATACGAGAACATTTGGAACTTACCTGAAACAGAGAAAAAACAGAATATTTGTAAAAAATTCAACATTCAAAATGAAATTCACAAAAACGGAATTCAATGTGCTTCAAAACTGAGGCGTTGAGTGCAAAAAGGGCATTTCTTGATGCGGGCCTCTTGAGGGAAGAAGCTGTTTAAGGAAGGACTATGAATACAACGCCTAGCCCCCCCCCCCCCCCCCCCNCAAGAACTTTTCTTCATTAAAAAATCCACGCAAAAACTGTTAAATCCAAAATCCAGGGTTCCCAGCGGTCCGGAAAACCTGGAAAGTCAGGAAATTAATGGTAACCTGGCAACGTCAGGAAATTCAGGTAATTATAATAAAAAGCCACAGCATTTCGCTAGCAGTGTTCAGCAAAATCAAGAGTAAAAAGACCCTAAATTTTGAACCAGTCAAGTGGTCCAGAGCTCCTTCGCCTCTCGACTCCGCGGCTGTAACGCGATGACGTCATATTCGGCGAACGGCGGTGATTTCTCCGAGCGTGCGATGATTCTGTAAATCCCGGCCGAAAGCGCGGCGATTTCGAGGCGAGCCGCTCGACGAGGCACCGTCTCGTCTGCGGGAACCCGAGCCGGAAGAGACGGTCGGCCGCTTAATCCACTCCCCGGGAGGAGGGGGGAGGGGGAGGGGGGTCGGCGCGGGTGGGAGAAAGACACGGGAGAGAGGCCGCCGCGGCGACTGCAGAAAGAAATTGGATTGGAGCACGTACGAACGGCGGATTGTGTAAAAGTAAATGTCAAGGATGTCGGGTGCCGGGATCTCGCCGCAGTGCCGTCCAGTAAAAAACGCGTAACTGCCGAGGGAGAGTAACGCGGAGATGCGCGGTTTTGGCACGGCCGGGCGGCGGACCCGAAAGCTCCCCCGAGCGCCCGTCGCTGCGGCGATGCTGCCAAGCCACGTTCTCACGGGCAGTTCGCGACGTCGGATTGGCCGCGCGGTGGAGTTTCACAGCGTGGAATCCCTTTCTACTGAGAGTTGAAACGCAAGGAATTCATCTCTGCTTGGGTCCAGTTTTCAAGGCACCTACAGCGGGTTGATAATCGAAATTCATAGACAAAGCTATAGATAAAGAAGCAAAAGGGGCATAAAGCGATCCCATTGATGGAAGCGGTGGTTGCAATGGACAAAGGAGGTAAATGATAGACAAACTAACGACATCCTATGAGAGATCCTATAGATAGTCCCTCATTTTCTCCCTTGGTCAACCTATAGAATCCAACCATTTAGATAGACAGGATCACACCATGTTCCTTATGTCTTCTTTGCCTATCGCTTGGTCTATCAATTTCAATAATCAGCCCGCGGTATCACAGACAAGAATGAAAATTACGATTCAGCGATTGCAAAGATTATATAAAGAAATTAACCGGAGAATGAGGGGCACGTTAACGTCAAGGAGCAAACGGGAACGGAGGAGGGGAATTCGGGAATGGGTTGATCATGGATTACCAAAAACGTTCAAACTGTGTAGTCTTTATTCCAATAGACATCCATGCCATAAACCGACTTTATCACCAAGAAACTCTGCGATTTAAACTACCGGTTGCCATGGACTTCGGCGAAACGAATCGTCTTGTCAACAGCAACGAGCAGATTTAACATCACTGCAACCGGTTCAACGCGGCGATGACTTGGCGCGGTGAACTTCACGTCGCAAGCTGCTCGTGGAACCGTGCCTTAACCTTTCTCCCGCGGCGCGGCGCGACGACCGCACCGACCGCACGGTCGCTAGTTTTAGGGTTCATGCGCAAAAATGAACTAAAAGGAACTGGCGCAAACTAAAATATTTCCCCGACTAACTTCCTCTAGCCTCCTCAGTTAAGAGAGGAAAAAACATTACATGTAAAATAACGCGATATAAACCAACGAGGATGCCTTGCCGAAGTATGATTTCGGCATTTGAACGACGCGCGAAGCGTAAAACAATGGAAGAATATTCGAAGTTGGGTTCGAACCCGACCTACAATTATTTTAACTCCGCGGTTGGCCGGGTTGCATACACTCGATTTTGCGGGCGAAATCTGAGATCTGTCAACGGCTTTCACGATGGGGTATGAGTGCAATGAGCGCTTCCCTCAAGCGTGAAGTATATTCCGATTAACGAACAAAGTTCTTGTATATGCTACCATGGTGTCTGGTCTTGATTACCATACTCATATCAATGTCGCTAAATCTAAATTCTTTTTCAGCGTAACCTGTTTCTTAGCGTTCCTATCAAATATTTCACATTTATCATCAATCCCAAACTGTTGTACATAGGTTTTTCTTCAAAACTTCCGAAGTGGGTAGGTTCCGTTTGCTAATAAATCCAATCACTTGAATACGATGGATATTAATAGTAGTAGACTTGCGTCATGTCACAACGCGAAAACAAAATTGGACCATAAGAAATCCTGAAAAAATGCGCGCTTCTTATACACCCCTTAGAAATCATTCTTGCGAAGCCATTTCTGCGGCTCACAGAGGCTTGTTTATCGTGCTCTTCGGGATGAATTAGGTACTCCCTGAATGGCGTATAATGGCAGGTTGTGCTTCTTCGAGCTTGGACTATCCGAGGATGATGACGTTAGGTCATGGTCTCTCCTGGCTAACGAAGCCTAATCCCAAGGACAATGATTGGAACTCGCTCCTATGTTGCCAGGTTTCTGGAACCGCCCCTAATCATCCGGAATCCGTAGAAACTTATCTTGAATATACCCTAAAAATGTTCATCGTAGCAAAAAGATTCCTCAGCGAATTTCCCTCATGGCCTGGTTACACGATCAAATTCCCGTCGAATTCCGATCAAATGGTGACTGGTGCGCACCATCTACCATCAAATTTCTGCGGCCTGCAAAAATTTGATGGTAGATGATGGAGCTGTGGGGCTCATCCTTCATCTGATTTCCACACAACCGTGCTTATTTCATACTTATTTCAATCAACACGCTGTTTTAATTAATTTTACTCATCAATCGAGATAACTATCGACCGCCATCTTGGTCATCATTTTGATCGGAATTTGACGGGAATTTGATCGTGTAACCAGGCCATCAAGGTCAAATGGGTGATCAGTTCTCATGGAGAACATGGTGCATAATTGCAATTTTTGAAAAAAATTATGATAATGATGATTTCGAGAGTAAACCTAGTCTTAAAGCATATTCTGTGAAAAATTCGCTCTTTCATTCCGATTATTAAGCATTGAAGTCGGTTTGAACTTTCTTTCCGCCGTGAGGATCCATGTAATTTTGAATCTTCGAACACGTATTTCTCGAAATAGCAAAAACTGCAATTATGCGCCTAGGCCTCCAAGCCCCTCAATTGTTTCGTTCCAAAACCCCGGAGTGTCTGGTTTCCCGAACGAAAGGTTAGTTCAGGAGGCTGAAGTTTTTATTAGCTACTAAGATTCATATTTTGCAGGAAAGTCTTGCTTTTCCTGAATCTGAACGGGAGTTCCATTTTCCAGATGAAAAAATTCGCGTGCACGAACTGAAAACTTCTGCGTTTCATACGAATAGTTTGGCAGCCGCGTGGACGACACGGTACAGCACGACGCAGTGCGAAAACGACGACTCACTGAATTTAGCGAGGAAAATAGCGCATGCGCGGGACACGGAGGGGGGGAGGGGGAGGCGGGGGGGCCAGGGCCGCGGGATGCTGGAGCATCTCGCAGAGGAAAACGGAATGCTACGGCGATGCTACCACCGGGGGGAGGGGGGCAGCGATAAATAAGGAAAATGCAAACTACAGTTAAGCTGCATTCTATACAAGGTTACAGGAGAACAAGGCCGGTGCCGGTGTTGCTGCGGTCGCGCCGGACGCCCAGGTACTTACCTCCCGCCTGCCGCACAACGCAGCGTTCCTGCCTGGGCGGAAAACTCGCGTTTTTGAGGAGATGAAACGGGATGAAAGGATTTAAAGCCGTGGGAACGCGTCGAGTGACGTAGCGAATTTTCAAGGGGCTCAACTCACCTCAAGAGCTCAAAATCTCCCGGGAAAGTCAAGACATGGTGTTTAGAATTCTTAGTTTTATCGATTCCCTGATGATGGAGCATTAGCAGGAGCCTGAAATGTGAATTTCATGTTTATGATGAAACTTTGAGAATTGAGCATGAGATTATGATCCGAGTTGTCAGGAGACTCAGCTCACTCCTCCTAGGGCTGGAAATTTCCCGCGAAGGTCAAGAACATGGTGTCGATATTGATAAAAATATTTGTGTTCTTGTGTTACTTTTGGTTGTTATGAAGTGAAACACTAATCAACAAAAAAATTGGCGTTGATTTTTGTGCAGGTTGTGGTGAATTTAGTGCAGAAACAATGGAGAGACTGGGAAAATACATTTCTCCGATTCTGGCGTTGGTATTCACCACTCGTTTTTTTTCATAATTTTCTGCGAGAAAACTAGCTGGCATTTTCTCTTGAAATTGTCTGGTGGTCTCCTTGTTTTCCTCTAAATAATTCCGATGATTCCTCGTTTTTCCAGGTCCCGGACACAAAAAAAGTGATGGATATTTTACCTTCTAATTTCCTAATTCAATTCTTTCTTTCTCGAAGAAAATTCACCGAAAATTTTGAAATAGAGAATGTTCAAAAATACCATATTTTATTAGGAGATACTCAGCGACACGACCTCCGAGTGTTTATGCGGCCGTTTCCCTTAACCCTGCAAACGCCGGATGACCGTGGCTCGTAAATACTCATTTATAACTTGCCATAGGAAAGTAGTTTTATGGCGAATACCTCGCTGAAAATAAATTGCAACTTCGGCGAGAATTCTGTTCGGCAGGTTCATTGAGGTCCCGGACTCTCTTCAACGGTTGAAATAAAGTATCAACGTCGTGCCATCGATTGAGCGTCGATATTTGCGATGGTATTTCATGGTTGTATATCCGTCGCAGGCAGTAGGCAATCGCTGGCAATTTGCAAGACACTACAGATAAATAGAGGGACATACAATTCAGAGGTAAAATAGCAAGGTTATGGTACAGCTTAGTTTGCCTTTA